CAAGCAGGACTTGCCATCTGTCGTTATGGAGAGCCACGAGTAGGAAGTACATGCATACGCAAGTCTTCATGAAGATGCATTTTTTCATGATTACCTCTGCCCTTTGGTCCCTTGCTCTATGTACGACTTTCTTCGCAGTAACGTGGATATGGTTATAGGGATGCGCACTTCGTAATCGCTCTATGGCGCCCGGACTACCCTCGCTTCCATTTATCGGTAGTCTCCACCATATACCATCACAAAGCCCATGGAATGCGATGCTTGGAATGGCCGGAGAATAAGGTACGCTCATAATGACATTGCTATCAATCTAATTGATATATGAAATCCCTAGGCGACCTCAACATTCTTTCATGATCTGGGTTACAACGTCCTCGTTCTGAATACTATCAAATCCATCCACAGTCTCCTTGATGATAGGGCCGGAATTCACCGCCATAGACCAAAATTTACCCCTCGGTGGTGAATTGATGGGCATTGACAGGGCATGTATTCAAGGGAATCGACACGGATAGAATTAGCTGACAAAGTCCCAGTCGTTGTCTCGTATGGAGTACGGACCAGAATGGCGCGAGCACCGTAAACTGGCACATATGGTTTTAAGGGCAGCTCTCTTATGCAAAGAGCTTCTCGATCGCCCTGGAAGCTTCTATGAGAATGTCATTTTGTTCGTACTATGTTCGACCTAAATGCATGAAGCGTACTTTTGACGCTTTGTCTTTCAGGGCAGTTGGTCGAGTAGTCATGTCCGTGACGTACGGGTTATCCCTCGACGCTGGGATTCAAGTGAGTCTGTTCACTTTTTCCAGAAGCAAAGATGCTCACGGTACCACAGCACATCAAGAACGCCGAGGACGTGATGTCCATGTTGAGTAAGGTCCTTGTCCCTGCAGCACATGTTTGTGATGTTTTTCCTCATCGTCAGTATCTGCCCTTTTGACTGTGGATTAATTACACACTCCAATACTTTCGCAGTCAAAAATCTTCCTTCTTGGTTTCCATTCCAGGAGTATGCCTCGAAGTGGAGAGCACGGATAGAAAGGGACATCATTGAAGCACCTTTTGAACATGCAAAGCAATTGTCAGTTATGATACTCTCCCTTCGCCCCCAGGTTGCTCAGATTGAGTTTGATTCCAGAGGATGGGAACCGTTTCTCCTTCACTTGCCTATAGTTCATTTCGGAAGAAGATCCTCTCCGAGAACATCGTATCAAGTGGGTGCTTGGATCCATGTTCACCGGTATGTCATGTCCACTGCAAGAGAACAACTTCCTGGTGAGTATCTTACTGTAGCCGGTGCCGAGACGGTTAGTTTTTAATATATATACAATGTGGTGACTTGAGCTCATGACATCGCTTAGACGCATGGAGTATTACTCACTTTCTTTCTCGCCATGGCAACTCATCCCGAGAAACAACGGGTTGCTCAGGAGATTGATAACCTCTTGCGCGGAGGAGATCGAATGCCCTTGATGTCCGATATGTCCAAGCTACCATATGTGAACGCTTTGATCAAGGAGACGATCAGATGGCATCCGATTTTGCCGTTAAGTGAATTGAATTCATATCTGTGTTTGAGTGGAACTGACCTTCTGCTGCCAGGTCTTGCAAGACGTTCCGCCGAAGACGACGAATACCATGGATGTCTTGTTCCCAAAGATACCACTGTGATACCTAACCTCTGGTAGGAACTACTCCATTTGTCCATATCCTGCTTACCTCTGACAGGGCGTTGGCTCATTCTTCTAGAGATATATGGTTCAAACGAATTTCACCCCGAGAGGTTCCTTGAAAGCGACGTAGTCGATCCGTCCTCGTACATCTTTGGATTCGGTCGCAGGTATCTGCACATTTATGGAGATTAGTCCATAATTCTGAGCCTTCGATCTAGGACTTGCCCGGGAAAGCATTAGCAGAGACTTCCCTGTTTATCTTTGTCGCCTCAGCCCTTTATTCAATCGAAATCTCGACGTCAGCCTCCCAAACTCCGCCCAAGTTTCAATCTGGACTTATAAGGTGCGCGTATCGCTCTCTCGTCCAACACGTTTTCTGGCTGATGATCATCGCTAGCTACCCCGAGCGCTTCTAATGTGGTATCGTACCCCGTTCGAGGGAACACGGGGAACGTGTGAGACTTAGAGCAGCTAGTTTGCACCATAACGTATGAAAGTTGTGAGTCTGTGTACGCCTTTATTTAATATCATCTCATTCACTGCAAGACAGGGGCCTGTCAATGTACATGGAGGTTGAAGCAAATGATGAACAAGACAGCACTCACTATTTAATCTGCTTTTGTACAGTCTCGATATGAATCTAAAAGCAGTCATTTGCGGTATTGAATCCTTAGCAGCTGTAAATGCCGAGAGTGACTAATTTCTTCTACTCAGTATAAACATATATGAACTCTAATCGCCTCGAGGACATGCTGGCTCAATTGAGTAGAGCTATTACTCCATCTGGTTGACAGGCAAATGACACTCAGACGTCAGTGCAAAGCAACTCTTGAGTCCTGCGACTTTCTTCCCTTGAAGTTTTCAGTCATTCCATTTACTCCTGCGAACCAATTACTCACGCTATGGGGCTCGCTGCGCTGCAGACGAAATAGAGCCCGGACTGGCAACAGAATATGCCATTGGGGTAGTGCGCCCAGATCGTGAATCACGATGCTAAATTGACCTCGACAGTGGCGAGCCGAATAGGGTGTAGTGTAATGATCAATGATAGAGGGAGATTGACAGGCATCATGCGTTAATATTGGAGCGATATAATTGAAGGATGGACGCAGCAGCAGTAATTTCCCTTTGTAACCTCCTTTCCGATGTTAACGGTCAACTCATCCCTACTGGCTGCAGTATCCCTCCTCTTGGTTCTCTACTGGGGATGGAAGAATCTGGTTCGGTCTCATAATTTACCTCCAGGGCCACCATCTCTGCCTTTGGTGGGCAACCTTCACCACATACCAACCCGACACCCGTGGATTGGTATAACGCATCTGCAAAAGAGATACGGTGCGTTTTTGATTGCTCACGTTCTGTATGTCTCCTTTCATGTTCTCCCAAGGCGACTTGGTACATTTTCATGGCCTCGGATACAAGGTGGTGTTCTTGAACACTCTCGAAGCTATCAATGATCTCTTAGAGAAGCGGAGTCATTTGTATTCTCATCGGCCGGTTTTCACTCTCGGTGGCGAACTTATGGGTATGGACCAGGTACGCAACCCTTTACCGCGATGAATTGTATCTCTGACATCGTTGTAGTCCATGGTTCTGAGAAACTACGATTCTGAATGGCGAGAACATCGTAAATTGGCACACATCTCCTTGAGTCCGACGGCTATCAAGAGATATCATTCTAAGCAAGAAAACATTGCGGCCGCCTTCTGTCAAGACCTCTTGCACGACCCTGGAAACTTTTATGAACATGCCAAACTGTTAGCTACGACTGTCTTATTTATGGGCAATAATCTCATTCGATTTACAGTGCGGCTGGACGCGTAGTTATGTCTGTGACATATGGACTATCCATTGAGGCCGGAAGCCAAGTACGTCTTTTGATTACTTGACATATATTGCCGAATACTGACCCCCACGTAGTATGTTCGGAATACAGAAGACGTCATGACAATGACCAATAAAACCATCGTTCCGGCAGCACACTTGTGTGATATCGTTCCCGCTTGTGAGTGGTATCCATTGATTTGAGACATTACTTCACTAGACTGTAACGATTTTCTCAGTGAAGTATCTCCCTGAATGGCTGCCATTTCGGAAATACGCCCGAATGTGGAAGGAAAGAATTGAAACAGACGTGGTAGACATGCCATTTGAGCACGTAAAAGAAGAGATGGTCCGTTAATTCGCCTGTATCTTCTCTTCTGCGATCCTCACATTCATTTCAGCAAAGGGGAAATGCAGCCCCATCGCTTGCTTCACATCTGCTTTCATCCGAAAGTGCAGCCGACAACGATTATCGCGTTAAGTGGGTGCTGAGCTCAATGTTCACCGGTGCGTTCAAGTCGCTTCTATAAGCTTCAATTTCTGAGAAGTCTAGTAGCGGGCTCAGAAACAGTCAGTGCAACTTGTTTGCGAAATTAACCCAACTCACCTGCCTCTAGACTTATGGAATACTTATCACCTTCATTTTGGCCATGGCGCGCTATCCCGAGAAACAAAAACTTGCGCAAGCTGAACTCGACAACGTCTTGTTCAGTGAAAACCGTGCACCTCTCATTTCCGACATGCCCAGGTTGCCATATGTTAATGCGTTGATTAAAGAGGTTATGAGATGGCATCCTATCCTTCCGTTCAGTGCGTTTCACTAGTCATTCACATCTGGCGTTGTCTGACCCGGTATAAGGCATTGGCAGGCAATGTGCTGCAGACGACGTGTATCGTGGCTATAAGATTCCCAAAGGGACAATTGTGGTGCCTAACGTGTGGTAAGTGTCTCCCTTGCGCTATGATCTTTCAGGTAAGTACCGACTGAAGGCACAATTAGGGCTGTGGCCAAAGCCCCGGATGACAAGTACGATCCACATGAGTTTTTGCCAGAAAGGTTTCTCGGACGGAATCAAGAAACTGTGCTCGATCCATATAACTATATTTTTGGGTTCGGAAGAAGGTAACTTAATCTCTGCGAAAATACTGAATGCCTCCCAACTGAATACAATCCATTAGGATCTGTCCGGGAAAATTGCTAGGTCAAAACTCTCTATTTATCTTCATTGCATCCGTCCTCTATTCGTGCACAATATCGTTACCTAGCACGGTGTCCACCCTACCTGAGTTCGATTCTGGTCTTGTCAGGTCGGTGTATTTATATTCTTAACACGCTCCTAAACACTGACCGTAATGGCCATCAGCTATCCTGAACTGTTTCAATGCGACATTGTCCCGCGTATACCGGAGGACAAATTATAAAACTTTATGAATCTGTCTTAGTTTTGAAATGAGGATGTACTTTGACTGCGTGAGAATTGGTGGCTACCAAAAAAAGGATTTTGCTCCCTGCAAGGCTCGAACTTGCGACCTCAGGATTACAATCGTAATACGATTGTCATAGACTCGCTATGAGACCTGCGCTCTAGCCAACTGAGCCAAGGAAGCTTGTGGTGATTGCACTTCTTCAAATATTAATATCTTTCGGACTCCAAATCCGTTCCCAATGTTCTCAATTATTTTACTTCCAATCCGTATTGACAGAATATGAAGTCGTGGCAAGCGGTATACTGATTCTGGGATCACTCCTATCAATCGATCTGGGCTGCCTCACCTCCGAAGCTACACGCCGAATATGCAGCACAATATGGCTTGTCAGAATCGAATGTAAAACGCGCTCGGATCTAACAAACAACAATCAATAGAACTATATGGGCTCAGAGATATGTAGGACACTTACGGAGCTAAGATAAGAGACAGCTGAGGCTGGAGAGAAGCCGATGCGTTAACAATCATTTATTACTGGGTACAAACTTTGGCCCATATCTCCTTACCTCGAGACTCGCAATGACGATAATATTGACCAGTGAAACAACTAGACACGCTTGTTAGAGGTCGATAGGCACTCTAAAGGCAGGAATACATACGCGAAATTAGAGCAAAGTATAGCACGCCTCGGAGAACAATATGAGCTTCGCATTCGCCGGTTCGTGTTCGGACAACTGACCATCTTGATAGACAACTCTATATAGCTGTGAGCTTCCGCCAACTCGGTCTGAATCATGTCGAAAAGAATCAGCAACCTCGAACGCGTGGTGGTGATTATCATCTTACATGCCCTTATTCCTGGTATTAACATCATGATGAAGGCACCTATAGACTCGATTAGCCGACAACCACGACATGCGCGCCAGCCCAGAAAACACTCACCAGTATCGTAGATAAGTAGCATCATCCAGTCAATCCACAGATTATTGACCCCTCCAAAAACCAAGCAACCAGGCACGGAAGAGATGGGAAGGGTAAGAACTGGATGTTTATGAGCCATGTGTCCGCGAAGTGGACCAGAATTCATTGCAGTTGGTACTTACATTTTGAGTGCCTTGCGTGATTATCGAAGTGAATGAACACAGGGATAAAGCAGCCAAGAAAGAAGATGGCTAGCCCGATTGCAACGCGAGTACTTTGCTGCCATACGGCGTATATTCGAATCGTCAGGACCACTGTTGGTATCACGTAAGGTTTAGGTCGAGACTCGAAAACAAGCTTCGGAGGGCAATGACATACGTTCGGAGAATCCCACGCCGATAGTAAAGAACCCTACATAAAATATGGGTTAATAGTGCATTTCAATTATACAGGAGATACAAAGCGCACGGACTCACACCCAATGACCAAATACACCTGAGAGCAACGATACGCGTCCATTGAGCCGAGATGCACTATGGGTGAATCAGCGCAAAAGTACCAGTAACGACAACCAAAAGACTCACAAAACAAAACAAGGAATGTAACGTCAACGAAAGGCATATACCTTTGAAGGAGGTAAAGCACCTTGAAAGCTGACCACTTTGATGTCCAAACGAACTGGATCTCAAGAGGAAGGTTGATGGCAACATCGTATAGCTGAACAAAAGCGGCGGCAACTATGAAGGCAAGAGTTTTACTAATGGACACAAGAAACCAATGTCGAAAATCATACAATCGACATACTGCCCAACGTAGATTCGGGAAAATCTTAATCAGTACACGTTCTGACGAGTAGATTGCGCACTCACCGAAGCTATTCGATTGAACTTTATGAGCTTCAACAGGAGATCGGGATTTATCGAGGAAGCTGCTGCGAAGAGGCCCGCCATTGGGACGTGAATGACGGATCCCCGCCGTCGTCGAGTCGGCCGTGGTGAAGAATCGAAACGTAGGGTGGAAGTCGGAAAAAAGCACCAACCGGTATTTATAAACAAAATTTTGGGGGGCAAAGACGCCACAAAACCAATGATCGGGAAGAATCAAGGCGACCGAGTCAGGCACGTAGATATTTCGCAGAACATAGGGCGCACCTTTGACAGATCTGTCACAATCGGCAAAGAAGGCCTTCACGAACCCACTGAGCCTTCTCAGGCCTTCTTTTCTCTAAACAGTCCGTCAAAAGTGGTGATGCATGATTATGGCCACGTTGCTCGACAGTCAACCTCGAGGATGGATCTGTTCTGATTTACTACTCGAAGATAATGCGGGAAAAAGAAAAGAGCGTCAAGATCGCCAACCCATGTGTTTGACGCATCATCGATCACATGGTCGCTGTGGGAGGCCGCCTTGAGCGCCACCGAGGCCATCCCAAGATTCTCCATAAGTTCCAGCGCAACGACCGTGTTCGAGGCACAGTTCTACGGATACGGATCAACCAACGACTTCAAATACTTTCTCATGCCCACCTTCGGGTGCTTATTCATCGTGAGAGCCAAGCGGGACGTAGCATGGTCCTGTTGGCAGTGTATGATGGATAGTCTTTTTAGTACCTGAAGTCCGAAGCCAATCTGAGGTCTGGGTCTGGGAAATTGCAAATAGCACACAAAGTCTGAAGTCGGATGGTTTCCGGTCATTGCGGGAGAACACGATATATTCGGCTTTGCTGGGATAGTATTCAGCAGCCTTCCCTTCGACAATCGTTTGAAAGCTGGAGAACTTAGTTCCTACACGTCCAGATACAAAACCAGTCAAAGTACTTCCCAAGAATTAAAGACGAATCACTCCCGACATGTCGGAGACTCGGAATGAGGGTTGGCAGTGAACGGCCACGATTGCGCATCACGTCTAGAGATTATCTATATATTGGAGCCCAGGTTTGGTAGATAATCATACAAAAATGAACTCTTTGGCGAAAGCGTCAGTCAAATTTCGGATATTTTATCATGAAAACGCCGCACCATATGCTAGGCACGTATCCGCGTCCTTCGGAAGGGTACAGCTAGTGCAGACCCTTGGCGTAGGAAGATCAGGTTACATCCAACCATGAATGTATATTACTGACATATATGGCCCCGGGGTAGCAAGGGGTAGCATCACAACGACCTCTTTGGATTGACAACTCTGTAACATACGGTAAGTTAGGCATGCGCATATCCGAAATGAGGGCACAATGACCTTGTCTGAGGGGAAATTTGGGGAAGCGTGCCAGAAAGGATACATCTCCAAATGAACCCGTAAGTTTGCGTGGCTATAGAGCGCACGGTCGTGCATCAGAGCTGAGAGAAGATGAATTATCACAACGCGAGATATATCAGATCTCTTCAGAAGTCTTGCCATAGTAATCCAAGGCGAGAATCTCGAAGGTACAGGCAGCGTGTGGGCCTCCATCTACATCATTGGGGAAGAACCATTTCGACGTTTTCGAGAAAGAGTGTAGTCGCACCAGAGGCCCTCCCTACCAAAAATTGTGAGAAGGTCAATTTCGAGTCAGCCTAAGACGTATCTGAGAACTCAGCGTTCAGTACTGAGATGATCTCTCAAGCTGCATGTATAAGAGAGACAAAGATAGAGAGTTCAATATACAGTGGTCTCTTTCCGCTTGTAGTGTGGTTGTGGTCGCAATCGGAGAAGCTCGCCGCGGCTACACTCGGGCTACACCTTTAATTCACACCATCACCATCCTAGCTCTCTCTGCCAAAGCATCCCTATTTTCTCTCGTTCTCGATGCAAGTCAAGCTTTCGAATCAATAAATAGAGGTCGATGGATCGAAAAGCGAGGTGGAGAAGGGCCAGAACGAAAATCTAGGTTACACGAAAATTTCGGCGTGCGTTTTTTCAACGATTATCTATGTCAGTAGTTTTGACGCGTTCCTTGTAGGCTCGGTATCATATCGTTGTCTTGGAAGAGACTATCAAGTTTGATATGGACACCTGGCGGGAGCTCTTTAACCCTGCCTAGTTATCATGCTACCATGATTCATGAACGGTCTCGTCACAAAGCTATTGCAGCATCCAGAAGATGTTTCGAATGTTTCGGTGAAAGGATCCTTGGTGGTTACGGTCATTGAGAAACATGAAGAACACGATGGTCATAGTTAGAATCTGGGCATCGCTGGCAGTCGGTGAGGTAATTTCGTACCCTACACGAACATCAGCTCATATTTAACACTAGAATATCCATTACGATGTTCAGATAATGAATCTCGAACCCCAGAAGATGTGGAAGGAAGCCGATGGCTCGGGCTTCAGTGTATGGGCCCATGGCTACGAACGGTGTGTCCTCTGGGTATTCACTACTTGCGGAGGTTGACAACTGTTGTTCTACAGGAATTCTAGCTTGAGAGAAAGGTGTCTTAAAGGTTATATCAGTCCAATATCAAACCTCCGAAGCTGTAATAGTGGGTACGGCCAATGATTCGTTCTACACGAGTCAACTATCCTCAGGATACGCTACTGCTGTAGCTTCGCTCGTGTGGGCTCTGTCTTGACCTCAGAAGCTGGCTGGTGTTCGCTCGTGGTGAGCCAATGTCATGGTACCCACGTCTGAAAATGACCTGATTTCTGCTCCCAGAGACAACACTTTGCCTACACACATCCACGATAGAAAGGGCTCTATAGCTTGAGAGGAATATGGTCCACTATCTATGTTTCTTCTGGCACCCGAAGCGAATTATTGGCTTTTCGCCCTGTATTTATGGTTCTTACAGTATGATGTCCATGTTACAACTAGTCTTATGGACCATTACCTGTAGAGGCCAGCCAGTGCTCGCGAAAACACGTGTGTCCTTCGCGCACGTGACGTGTGTTACTGTAACGATTTGCTTCTCGTGTCACTCCTTACCTTGACTTTGAACCCCAATCATCACCTACAGAATGCCCAAAGGCATGTTTTCCTCCATATTTCTCCCGCCATTCACTTATCTTTTAGCTGTGACTGCAGATTCTCCTCAGTCAAGCAAGTCGGCACGCCGGGCGTCGTCAACCTCGAATGGCGAGTCTTACATCGTTTCTCCGACGTGTATATGTTCTTATTCTTATATAATAGCCATCGTCGGCCCATATTCTCGCCCTAAATCCGATCCAGAAAACGAAGCGAGAATCGAACGTCGTCGTGCCAAGATCTCAAAGCGCATGATAGAGGTCGCCGCCGCAATACGATCCTCAAGTACGCCTCAGGGACAGGGAGGCGCGCCTTCTAA